CAATTCAGGCTGCTGGTGGTGGTGGTCTAATTATTGCTGACAATGTCCATCCCTTTATGGCTACAGTGTACGGTTTGCTCGCTATTTTCCATCTAGTGAACACGGGAGTTTCATATCATGAATGTGTAGCCAAACAAGCACCTGTGTGATGCTGTCATGTTAATATGGACCAAATCTCCAAGGACTGTTTCCAACACTTTGTTGAATCTCTGTCACAAAGCATAAAGCCATTTTTAAAAGCAGAAGGAGGTCAACCTGGTATGAGCAAAGTTGAATTGAGTGTATTCCTGGTAAAATTAAACAGAATATACAGCTGACATGCTCGATTTCAGAAACCCAAACTTATTGACTGTGAAGGTTCTCAGTCGACCAAGTCATCGTAGTCTAAGGCAGGGGTCCCCAACCCCCGGGCCTCGGACCGGTTCGTGAGTCGTTTGGTACCAGGCCGCGAGAGTTGAGGCTCAGGTGTGAAATGTATGGTTTTTATCGGTTTTCAGCGTTATTTTGTTATCGTTTTTATCGTTAACTCGGTGTCCCTGGGTCTTTTCAAGTGTGTTATGAATAAATCTTCTTTTTTTCGGTACCGGTATTAGTTTTATTTTGTTGTATTTATCCGCGACACCTTAAAGGCCGGTCCGTGAAAATATTGTCGGGCATAAACCGGTCCGTGGCTCAAAAAAGGTTGAGGACCGCTGGTCTAAGGAGCTTGGAAAGAAAAGAGTCTGGACTTCTTTAAGTTGCTTGAAGACATTTCACCTCTCGTCCAAGAAGCTTCTGCATGCAGAAGAACCTTATTGGGTTTTTTTTACTGTATAGCCTGTTTGTTTTTCACTCCAAGTTGTGACGATAGTTTGAGTCACCTATCATGCAGAAACTGAAAAACATTTGCTGCTTCTGCAAGGATTTCCTGTTTTGTCTGTTTTTATGTTGGTGTAACTAGAATATTTAAAGTGTGAAGACCTTTGATGTTCCAAAGAATCAACAGACAGACATTCCAACAACATACAGTATTATTATTGTAGATCTCATTTTACGTTGTGATTTTTGATGCAGTTGATAGTTATAATGCTGCTAATGGAAATCTCTGCTTCTGATTAATTAATTTATTATTAGCTAAACCTTTGAATGTCATTTCACTTATACAAAAATGATCTGCAGTTTTCCCAAACTGGACATGATGCTTTTTCTGTTTAATCCTCACGCTCACTTTAAAATGTGCACGTGCGAATTTCAAGCTTACTCTTCTGTTTAAATCCTTAGTTTCATTTGTCCTTTTACCACTTCTATCGCGATCTCTCTGCTTTTAATTTAAGTTTTAATCGAAATGTCTTTACTGACACACTACATGTGTAACCACAGGGAATAAAACAGATAAATGAGCATAGAGCATGCTTTGTTGCTGCTTAAGTTAAAGGCAAAGCATGCATTTATTTATTTATTAAATGCAATTTATATCAAATACAGTCTGGTGCAGCAGTAAGAGGGAGGAGTCTAGATTGTAAGTATAGACATTGCAAAAACAGAAACCTTTCTTCCTGTGTCTAAAAATGTCTTCAGCCCTCTGCTGCACGCACGCACACACACATGCGCGCATATCTTTCCAACAGTATAAGCAGTGTGCATGCAGCAGTTGTGGTGCAGGAACTTGTTTGTTTAGCTTTGAGTATTAGTCAGCTGGTGGTTTTGCAGTATTTCTGTGTGAGCTTGAAACCTTTCACAGTTGGCTCAAATATAACATTTTCTCACCTTCTTGCTTTTGAACTTTGGACGCTTACATTTTCACACACAAGTCTGGGTTCACCTAGCAATGGCTGCTTGAACGGCATAGACTTTGACGCACACAGTCAAGCCAATACTCTTCTCTTTAAAGTGGCACTTTTATCATGCATTCAGCATTTGTGTTGTGGTTTCGCAGATGACAGATAGGCTATGGCGCTATCAAACACTATGTACTATGGTCTCCAACATGCATGTCTCACAAAATTGAATCATTAGTTCCATGTATTATAATTGTCATTATATCTCTAAAAAGCAGGTGCACATCAGAACATGCGCGGAACATAACCACACTGGAAACGATGACCAAAACACTCACTGGAAAATGTCAGGAATTGATTACCCTGCTGACTGAGGCTGACAGCACAGACAACCCTTCACATGAAAAGCAGGATGTTTTCACTTGGCTGCGTTGAAATTAAACGTTCCGTCTCATGTGCGAATCTTGAGACGAGTGAGAAAAGCTTTTGCTAGAAAAACGGGAGAAATGGCAGCCCTTAGTTAGCTTTCTCAAAAAGCTGAAAAGCATATGTCTGCAGCCATGTTTGATTGAATTATGATATAATCCACGACTTAAGAAAAGCTGAGAGCAACTGCTACCCTGTGAGTCAGCCTGGCCTGCAGCCGATGCCCTCTGTCCCTCCCACTCACACAGCAGGACAACGCTGTGCTTATGTAACAGAGAAGTAGAAAAGGGATACAAGGAGACTTAGGATAGAGGAAGGAAGAGAGGCTAAAAGAGAGAGGGCAAGAAAGAGAGGAGAGCGGCTAACCGCATGCCTCCATGTTTTCCGCTTGACAGCTTTGCATTAACCACATTTTGTCCTCGTCTTCCCCTTCATCTCCATGAGTTATTTACTTATTATTAAAGCACTTGCACTTGTCATATTAATAAAATCGTCATGAAAATTTGATTAACAAATCTTTATAGAGAGAAGTCAGAAACCCACAGTAAGCTGATTTAAAATGGAATAACTTTTAATGAAAATGTGTCTGTAATCTTGTGCAGCATGCATCGGCATGTGCAATTACATCTTTTTGTTATATCAAGTGTCAAATGACTCTGAAGCTCAGGCTTATTGAAGCAGATCCAGTACTACTCTGCTTTAACCACAGCTAGCATGTTCTCATCACCTCCACCCATCTGTGGAGCGTGTTTCAGTGACGGCTTCCTGTAATATTGGCAGAGTGCACAGTGAAACTACAGCCAGGAAACTGTCATGGTTGTATGCTCTTCCCATCAGTGACTCAAATACTGATGATCAACTCAGAGTTGTAAAATGAATGGTTTGTTGCTGAGGTAGAGTGTCTTGAATAGAGCAGTCAATGCAGTTTCATAAAGCACCAAATCACAAAAACAGTAACGTCAGGCTATAATAATATAATTTCTTTGGACCTTGATTTTAAAAAGTCAACTAAATGCTAAAACTTTGATGTCATTCTTTTTGTCCCTTTATTTATTCAGACAAAAAATGGCTGGAGCCCAGAACAGGAGGACTTAAATCACACATCCATAATTTCCTATCTGGATAAATTGTCAGCAACCGCCCCCCCCAAAATTCTCCATTGCCTCCACAAGGATAAAGTTTGTTGCTTATTGGATTGTGTTATTGAAAACAGAGCTGTCGGTTCCTTCTCTGATTTCTGATTTGCGATTTCTTTCACATTTTGCATCGGCTAATTAAGATTGTGGGTGCAAACGTGTCAGAAAAATAACAAGGCATGATGTCAGGTTTCCTTTGTGCCTCTGAAAGTGGTGGGCTGTGCAGGAAAAATGTCCAGTTCCATAGTTTGTATTTTGGTCTCCGCCCATGAGCTTTGGGTACAATCCGAGAAAATGACATCATAGATAAAAGTGGTGGAAATGAGTCATCTGAAGAGCGTATGCAGCGTCCCTTAGGGATGAGGTGAGGAGCTCAAAGTAGAACTGCCACTCTGTATCAAAAATCAGAACCAGCTGTGATGATTCTTGCATCTGACTAGGAGCCCTTCCAGGCGCCTCCTAAGTGTTTTGGGCATTTCCTACTGGGGGGGGGTTGGAGACCCCAGTGAAGACCTAGAACACGGTTTCCGCATGGAAGAGCAGAAGGAGGTGGCTGGGGAGAGAACAGTCTGGGCATCTCTGCTGAGATGCTTTCCCCTGTGATCCATACCAGAGAGATGGTAGAAGATGGATGGATGTAGTTAAAAGATGAACATAGTAACCCATTGTTTGTGAAGTCTTGTATTAAAGCCTCAACACAGTTTCCCATCTGTGTTGTTGTGTTTTTTGTTTTAAACTGGACATGACAAGTGAAGGAGAAACTGAAGGGAACACCCTGACGCATAAGGGTAAAGCTTTATCAACTTGCTTTGACTCTACTGCGCACAGAATAATCATCACACTGTATCCAGTAAGACTTTAAACTCATTTCAAATTCAGTGTGGTGCTGTGTTCAGGCAAAGTTAACCACACCAAAGATGTGTCTTTGTCCAAATACTCACACGCACATTAATGACAAACACATTCATAAATCCAACTTAATGACATGTTGACATTTTGTAACCATCAGTGTGTATTCATGTGTGCGTGCATTGCGTTAAGGTGACATAAGTGTCCATTGGATTGCATGCCTGTGCATATGGGTGTGTGTAATGGGTGTTTGCGCCTATTTTTCCTTTCATACACACCCAAACCACTGCAAGAAATCAGACAGCCATAACCAAACCGCTTCCACAGAAGTCTTGTTTTTTGTGTGTGTGTGTGGGGGGTTCAGGTGAGGATTCAAAAGAATAACCAGCTCTAAACAAGTGTTTGTTTGTATTGTAAGATGGGTGTCAAGGGAAACAACATTAAAAAAATAAAAGTGACTAGGCTTATTACTAAGGTGTGTTGTTCAGTGCGTACATGTCTTATGTTTGGACACGTTTCACATTGATTAGTACAGGTTAGACTTCATGTTCAGATTTGTGTACAAGGAGAATCCATCACATCACTGTCCATCCCTTATTTATCCTCTTAAAAGCCTCACTGAGATTAAAACACTGCTTTTTAAGAGTGACCTGGTTCTATTAGACGTGTCAGTGAGATTTGCTTTAAAAATTGATTGTGGGAGGGGTGTGTTTAGTCCCCTCCCTCTTTTATTTGTCACAACACACCTGCCTACCCCAGTCCTCCTCTCCCTGTCCCCAGTACTCAGTCACTCACGCTGCGCTCTCTTCTCTCTCTCGCTGTGTGTTTTCAGTCTAAGATGCCCTAGGCGGTGAGGAAGGAAATGTAAATGGCTTCCAAAGTAAAAGATGCTGTGGTGTGGTACCAGAAAAAGGTAAGGCGCTGCATTTTAAAATCTTTTTTTAAAATTAAAAAAAAAAATTGTGTGTGTTTGGTTTCACACCATTGCTGTGCTTTTGTTTTTAAGTATATAACTATAATATTAAAATGAAAAACATGTATTTAATATGATATTTTGACTTATGACTACCTCTGAAACTATGCTTTGATAGCACCATTAACCTTTTTATGCACTCTTACTAATACTAGTTTTACAAGTCTGCTTTTCATAGCGTCTTATTTAAAAAAAAAGAAAAGAAAAAGGCTTTGACCTTTTATAAGCCCATTACATTAATTTTTTTTCCTTTTATTTCTCTAAATGACACTTTTTAAAGATTCCTATTATCTTTGCACTACCTTGTAGCTTATACAGAAGACTAATTTTTGCCCAGTTTGATTACTATTATTGTAATGATTGGGGACTATGTTGCAATTTGCATTTTATAGACATCAATCATGCTTTCCCTTTGCATTGTAGAAGTGTCTGATTAAGGCATCGTCTGTGCATATTAAATTGTATTGATATTTTATACTTGTGTGCCTCAGCTATGGTCTTTAAACCATAGCTGAGGCATAGCTGATTATAATGCTCAATATTATGATCTGTCGGGTGGACCTCCTTTTCTGTAAGACTCTTTATAAAGTCTTTGCTTTATTCTATACTTTGAATAATCTCCTACACATGGTTTCATCTTTTTTCTTTTTTCTCTTACATGCTTTTACTGCACTTGGGAAATGCAGTTTCATTCACTTTCCTCTAATTCTACTCTCATCACTTGACATCTATTCTAAATTTTGTAGTTTAGAATTAGTAATGTAAATGTTAATAACACAAAAAATGAGTGTAGTTCCCTCCTTTTTATTTCTTTACTTGCTTTTATTGATAATGATGCATCTTGTCCATGATTTTCTGAGTTTAGCAAGTACAGAAGAGCAAACTGATCATCTTTTACAGAGAAATGCACAGAGATCTGGTAACGCTGACCAGTTTTGCTTGTATTTGCAGTCATCCTGACTCTGACCCAGTAACAGTGTTAATTAAGACATATTTGCTCCTTTTGCTGCAGTGATTTCTTACTTTATATACAGACTGCAGTATATGTATATACTCAATAGGTGATCATACATTGTTCTTGCTCTGTGGCACACTGAGGGAGAAGTCGCTAAATCATTTAATTTCTTTTTTTTAAAAAGAAAGATTTACAAGACTTCTGACACTGAAGCGAGCAGACTCCTTCAGTAAACCATTTTGATAATGACTTCCTTGCTGCTGTCAGCAGCGACATCGGGGTCGAGCCGTTCAGCACTGCCTTCAGCCCGGCTGGTGTTGTGTGTCCTGTTGTTCCATAGTCTCAGATATCAGATCCTCTGTTGGACTCCAGCCCCGGTCCCCCTGCAGCTCTCAGCTTACACACTCATCTGCTCTCACAAACCTTACTGCCTGTTTTTCTTTTCTCTGCCCTCACTGCTGGCCTTTTTTTCTTTTGCCATTTTCTCTTTCTGCTCACACCTTCCAGATGTAGAGATCAGAAGCTGGAATGAGAGCTCACAGAATATGACCCATCAGAAGTAACTTTAATGAAAGAACAACATTGAAAACACTTGCATGTGTAAATATATACATTTTCAATCAAAACTGCATTTTTAAAAATGTTGTTTTATTACTTTAAGTTAAATTCTTTTGTGTCGTAAATATAGGAAACGGTAAAGCTTGCACAAACCCTACTTGGGTTGTTTTCAAACCGTTGTCTTGGCTTTAGCTGATTAATCTGAGTTAAACGCAGAATGTTTTCTTCAAAAAAACATTAAGCTCAATGCATTTCTTGGGTATTTGTTCATCATACGTCTGTGTTTTGTGTGTCTAGCAAAGCTTGTCTGGGCAAAGGCACACCAGTGACGACAGCCGCTGAGTCACGAATGACTAAACTTTTTTTTTTTTTTTTTTTTAGTGCCCTCACACCTGTCCTCAGGGGACTTCTTTATCTAGCGTGTCTCATTTAGACAAGTTAAGTGGTTGTGCGTTTTCTCACTCAGTTGAGAAAATAAACAATAGATTAGGTTGAACTTTTCTGCAAGCCGTGACCAGGATTTCAGTGTCTCACAAGAGACAGTTTCATTCGTCTGCATTAACCCTCTCAAGGCAGGCGTTGCCCATTTGCAAACTAACAACCTGATTACTCCGCATACATATTTTGTGAGTTTTTTTTACTCAGAAGTACCACTGCAGGACTTGGTTGTACATTAGCAACAAAAAGTTTAATTTGAGCCTGAGAGGGTTAAATCTCTTAAGTGTTCTGTAAAATTGGACAACAGCACACCAGATAGATGAGTCTTGAGAGGCATAGAAGGGTCCACTGCACCTTATTATAATGTCTAGCTTGTCAGGAAAGGGTTTGATATCAGCAGCATTATGTAACCACCTGAAATCTTGCTAATCATATCTTCTCTGCCCTCAGGGAAGATTCATACTTCTCAGATCCAGCTTCACACAGTTGAATAATTTGTTGTTTCCAAGTGAAAAGAAAATGTATTTGTTCACTTGCCTCTGATGGCTTTTAGCACTGCAGATTCTGCAGTTTCATTATAAATGTTCGACATTTCTGATCCGTCACAGTATAGTTAAAATGTCAACAAACAAGTCACAGATTTAGGTTTGGGCTGTTTTCAGTAGAGCTACTTCTAAAGAAATCGCTGAGAGATATTTAGTATTCAGCCTGCATTGGTGTTAAATTCTTTAAATGTTTCCTTTTTTAATGCTGTGAGCTCCATAAATCTGATTAAATTCAGCCGAGATGATATAAAAGTGCACATTTATGCTTTCCAGGTGTGTTTTGTTTTATTTGGTTTAGTTTTTTGTGCTATATTTTTGCCTACTTTTAAATGTGTAAAACTGCAAAAATGGTTCACAATGCAATAAAAGACAGGGTCCAGTAACTGTTGAGTCTCACAAAGCTTATTCAGTGTATTCACATGAAGTTATATTTTATGTTGCAGAGAAAGTTCGAGATTGTCAAACCGGTTTGTTAAGGTGTGTTTCACAACTCGGGCTCTTCGGCCTCTAAGCCCTTCAGGCTTATGTCAGAGTCGCAGTGTATTTCTGACTGCTGTGCTGGGAGACCAGCTGTAAATAGACTCGGTGCCTTGTTTGTGTCGAGTCTGTTCTTTTTCCTCACTGCCGTGCCATGCCAAGCCCATATCACAGTGAAGGCACATGCACCGGAGCAGGCTATATCGGCCACAGCGCCAGCCATACTTACTTTTTCTCTCTGACAGTTTGTTTGTTGTTACCAGATAGAAAGCGGTTCCATGTAGAAATTATTCAGCTTTTAATGTCTTGAACATTTTAAATGTGCCATGCATGTTGGTTTATGTTTGAGCTGAAAATGTTTAACTGTAACAAATTTAATTGTAGCTTGCGTGTGTGTATTTTGAGATGTGACGCAGTGTGTATTTTCGGAGGGTGTTTGTTGTTGACTTCTCGAGATCAGAAAGTCTCGTGTGAAGATTCACTGTGACCACACTTAGCAGTCACAGGTCTATATTTAGGAGATGAGAATTTTTGTGGATTATCTTGTCGCTTCCCTGTTGTAGTTTCTTGGTGCAACTCCTTGGACGTTTACATCTCAGAATATAATAAAAATCATCTGACCTTTACTGGGTTCTGAAACGAGGCATGACTTGGCAAATAATGGCATGGTGTATTGAGCCAAAATGCAGAAAGTGTGTGAAAAACTAAGTTCACCCTCACTGTTTGCGTAGGAATTAAGAGGATAAGTAGCCGTTATTATGCTAAGTCAAATACACCCGATTAAGTTATCATCAGCAAATCTGTAAAAGCAGAAGCAGTTTTAATTGTTTGTCTGCTGTCTGTTAACATAACACAGAGGAGGACATCAGCAATGATCTCAAAAGTGATTGTTGCTGTGGTTATAAGGCCATTTCCAAAACAATTCCAAGCCCATCACTGTGCATTGAGAAAGATTATTCACAAGTGGAAAACATCCGAGACTCCAGCTTGTTCCAGCAGATTCACCCTGAGGTCACACTGTGCAATGTTTAAAACCCAAGAGCTCCATCTTGGACTCTGCAGGCCTCGGTTAGGAGGTTAAATGTTGAAGTTCATGACAGTACAATATTTTAAAAAAGAACAAGTCACTGAGTTTGGAATGGCAGCTACTGCAAAAAAGCTTGTTCTCTGTAAAAAGAACATGATAGCACAGCTTAGGTTTGCAAAGTTTCATCTGAAAAAATCATGAGACTTCTGAAACAATGTCCTTTGAACAGATGAGCCCATAATGTACAGCACTATGTTTGGGGAAAACCAAACCCAGCATTTCAGCACAAACACCTCATACCAGCTGCTCTTTGAGTTGACCATGAACTCCTCTGTATACCAAAGTATTCGTCTGTCTAACAAGCTTGGGTCAGAATTGGGTCCTGCAACAGGACGATGATCCCAAGAACAGCTGAAAGAGAAAAGAAGCAAGGTAACGCAATGACTCAGTTAAAGTTCGGACTGTGAAGAAGAGCGGGCCAAAATTCATCAAAAGTCATACAGAAAAGATTGACTTCAAGTTATCACTGCTGAAGGTGATACTACTGGTTTTTGCATCATAGATTGTACTTAGTTTTTCCACATACTGCTTCTGGGCTTAGTTTTTGCTAAATAAATAACGGCATTTGTTATTTTGGGTTGGCTTAAGTAATGATAATCTTCATTTCTTTTCCTTCATTTGCCCCAAAGCAAAAAAAAGAAGCATTGATAGGTTTGTAGCATAAACCTATTCGCTGGAACGTTCAAGACAATTTACTACACAGCAGAAAGCAAGACACAAGTAGGCAAAGTTCTTTGTGTTACTCATGCATGAGGGAGACCTGCCTGGAGCCAAGTGTCGTTCCACCCACTTGACCTCCGTCAGACTCTCAGCCAGGTTCCCCATAGCACTCCTTTTATTGTGGTTACATGAATATGCATAGGTTCATTAACATATGACG